CAAAACAACAGCACTTGTTTGAAACAATGGAAGTGCTGTTGTTTTGCTATTGTCAGGAGGTCGCTTTTATTGGGACATTCTGTGGCAAGACCATTGAACACTTAGACTAGGCATTTGTTTTGAAGGTTTCTCTTTTCTTGTAATTGTTTGAACTGTTGAGAGTTTAAAATGTTGAGATACTGACAAATTAAAGTTTAATTTTCTAGTTTTAGTATATCTCTGTTGCTGATCGTCTTTTCGCTTAAAATATAAAATCCCCTACTCACCAATATTTTAGAAGTTTGAGTCATGTAAAACAATTTATAAATTTTAAGTGGCCTAATGCATCGTGTTGGTCTTAAATTTTACTCATAATGGTCTTAAAAGGTCTTTAAAAGGTCTTAAATTTAACTTACTGAAACCTGCAAGAACCCTGCTCTCTCTTTCTGTCTCTGCTCTTCAGTCTCCCCCCACCCCACTTGTCCCATACACACTATCCCCCTAAAAGGCATATTAACTACTCCTTTTAACTCTGTGTTTTGTTGGATGAGAGCCAGCTGCTCCTCAAGGTCACGGACCTTGGCCCAACTGACATCACTCGTCAATGAAGTCCAACTGGTTGCAATAATCCAGAAGGGCAAACATCATGCCAACACAACACTGAGCTGGCCCCATTTTGAACTAATTTAAGTCCCCTGTTTCTTACTCCCAGGCCAGGTAAAAAATTAAGGAATAATTTTAATATAAGTAGATTATCTTTTAAAACTCGTATAATACCTGAACTGACTGCTCAGTGGTAAGCTTCATTAAAAAGCAAGGCTTTACTTACCAAAGGAAATATTCCCAAATAAACAATAATTTAAAAGAAGTACAGTTGCTTTTGGGAGGCTGATAAACCACAAAAAGAACCCTCTTGCAAGCAGGCTACTGATGAGTGGAAAATGTCCTCTGAGCCCCGACTGGTGACAAAGCAAAGCTTTAAGAGTAACTGCCTATTTCTAGGGAGCGTCATGTTCCTCCACGAGTGTTTGGTGTAGAGGTGTGCAGAGAGATAAAAGCAACCTGAGCTCTGGTTCATTCACCACACCGACTGCACTGTTTATAACAAAAAGCAAACAGCACAGCGGTAAAACAGCCGGGCAGACACCCACTTACTAAGACCAAATTAAACTGAGTTAAATAACTCTGGACACACTATTTTACATGCACAAACAAATAGCAGAGCAACATGCAAGCACACCACCCTTCAAGAAACTTCCTGCTACGCTCTACATGAGTAGCACGTATCCAGTCCTCCAGAAAAAAAATTAGGCATTCCTTACACTCCTATACTCATGTTTTTTTATTAACATTTTAAAAAGCATTTGATAATCTCGTATTCTTTTCACATTGCAAATAAATGTGAGTGGAGTATGCATATCCTTCCCTTGTCTTGCTAGTTCTAGTCCAAACACATGCCCCTTATATTTCCCACTTTTCTGCTGTTCTCCATGTTTGGCTGCCCATGTTAGCCAAGTTCGAGACACTAAAGTAGTATTAAAGGTCCATTAAAATCAGAGATTGCATCAAGGAAATCATGCACGGAGAAAACTACCATAAAATCATATTTATGGGATCAGTGCATTTTACATAAAAGATACATATACTTGGCTCTTGCTGCCTACAGTCAGTATTAGCAGTAATAATTTTTTCATATTGCAAAAAGTAATAATAAACTTTTTAAAAGCATCTGATGGCAAGCTGTGTTTATAAACTTAATGTAAAGGGCTGTACAAGGGGCTCCCCTGTATAACATTTTTGATTTACTCTCAGCTTGCCAAACATAATATGTAATATATCAAGCAGTATTTTGGTGAAGGCTAACTCACCAAAAGGACTCACTGAAGGATTAAAGAAAAAAAAACAGCATAAACCCATATTGTCATATAAAGTATTGAGCAACCCGTAAAATATCTGTACTTTATGCTGTATGAAACAAAAAAAGAACATCACATTGCATCCCAGTGATGCTTAATTAAATTTTTGGGCTATTGTGGGAACATGCTGTTGATATCAGTGTGCATGCTTTTCATCTGTACTATACAGTGAGGCTGTTGTTCCATCTATGTGTGTATATATTTGTGTTTACTGCATAATGGGAGTTCACTGCTATTTACAGAGTCTTTGATCCTCCTGACTGGGAGTTCTACCTGTAGTTGTTTCCAGAAGCGTGAAGAGAGATCAGCAGATTTCTCCCCCTTCCACTGGATCAATGTTAATGCCACACGGGCTCGGCGCAGTTCCTGGGCCCAGCTTGATCTACAAATAGGCTGGTACTGGACCAGGATAACTCGGAGATCTCCAGCCTGGGCCATGCTGTCCAGACCAGCCTTCAGTTCCAGCAAGGCCTGTGTGCCACGCAGCACATAGAGTGGACTCAGCACTACAATGATGCGTCGACTACGGCTCACAAAACTCAGAGTCTCATCTGTGATGGCTGTTGAAAAGAATTCAAAAGACAACACAAACTCACTGAAACACATTCTGTATAACCGTTAAAGCAGGCCCTCTTTGTAATAATTTTGATACTGCTAAATCAGTTTACTTATAATAATCTCATACTGGAATCTACCAACTGCCTCCAGGTATTCCATGGTAATTCCCATACATAATTCCCTACTGTCATCCCACACTTACTGCCTCCAGGCAGGCTGTCCCTGTCAAAAATGCACACTCGATATCCAAGCTCATTCTCCAGGACTCGACGAAGAGTCAGTAGCACAAACTGTTCCTCCTCACTGTTCCTCGCATAGGAAATATAGACATCATAGTCCTTCCCATCTGCACAGAAAGGGAGGCATGAGGCAGCAGAAGAAGGAACTGAAAGTTAGTTGAGCTGGAATCGACAATCCAGGTATGAAAAGCTTACCTAATACTTCATTTGATCTAAAGCAGGAACGGTACAGCAGTAGCAGTTCCAGCCAATACAAATGGTACAATCCAAACAGCACCACTACAAGGAACAAGGGGATGCCTAGACCACATCCTAGTTCTATGTGGGGTGGGTGTCCTGTACAGAGATATCAGATATCTGTCAGTATGTTTACACAGAACATATACAAACAACAGTAACCAGAAAGGATAGTGTGGTAACCATGGAACAAATACAAAACCAAAATTGTACCACAGAACATATTGTAAGTTGTGCAGTGTTTTCAGTCTTGAATCTACAAACTGATGACAATACGGTTTTACTATATGCATATTCATGGATTTTCTCGTGTTAATATGTGTTCCTTTGTCTCACCCTCATATTGGATGACAGCCTTCCGGCTCACATTGCCCCGACTGTTTGCAGCATTACAAGTGTATTTCCTCTTCAGGTCCTGGGAGTTAAAAGACTGAATCTGTAGCGTTGTCTCTATTGTTCTGTCACCTAGTGCAATCATCAAAACTCTGTGATAAAGGAGGGGAGGTAATGAACAGAAAAAAAGAAAGAGGTCTATATTTCAGAGTTACAACAAAAGATCCAGTTTTCACTTTCAGCTAGTCTGTGAGTCTTACTTGGACATGCTGGTAATGCGGGTGTCGCCGTGTAGGTTGACTTTATGCCCGTCAATTTCCCACCACACCTGAGGTTCTGACTGCTCTTCACTTAAGTAGGGAAGGAACACAGTGCAAGCCAGCTGAGCCAGCGACCCTGCACAAAGAGTCACTGTTATTAAATACGTCATGTTACTGTGGCTGCACTGTAATCATAACAGTGATAATTATTGTAATTACTGGTTTCGGAATTCCTGGAAAAAGTTTTTCATTTTCTGTGTAGCAGTTCATGTGAACTTTACAGTCTGCTTTTATCAAAAGGAAAAACAAAAGACCACAGAGATAGATATAGATATAGATATAGAAACTGATATGCTTATATCAGAAACTATTTTTGGAACAAACATGAATCAAGGATGTTAATGCAGTTTCCTCATATAAATCAAGCATTGGTAAAATTACATTGTTATTACCATTGCCATTGATTCTGTCCATTCGGGCATGTCTTTTTTTTTTAATAAACTTTATTTTAAGTTTTTACAAAATTAACCAACCAACAATGAAAGAACAAAAAACTCCCCGACCCAGGCTTAACAATAACAAAGTAAAAAAAATATTTTAAAAATCAATAAATAATAATTATAAAATAAATTTTTTTTAAAATAATAAAAATAAATAAATACATTTAAATAATCACATTAATTGAATCAATACTCGGTCATACTAATATAGAAATAACTCCATATTCAATTTGAGTTGTACAATTTCAACATATTCTATGAAGGGGGATTGCATGAAACTTTTGCCTGTATTTACCTCAGCTATATCTCAACTTTTCAAGTGGCAGTGTAGCAAGCACAGCTTTCACCCAGTACTTAAAGGTTGGGGGTCTGGAGGACTTCCACATTAAAAGAATCATTCTTCATGCCAACAGAGAAGAGAAGGCAACAGCCCTCGCTTGTAGGGTGGAGTAATGTTTGTTTTGTGGTAGCACACCAAACACAGCAACAAAAGGATTGGGCACTATTGTAGTGTTGCATATGTGCGAGAAAGAATGAAAAATCTGTTCCCAAAATTTTTTTAAGGACTGACAAAACCAAAACATATGGCCGGTTGAAGCTAGGCTGTATTGACACCTGGGACATCCTGCGTCAGTACCAGGATAAATTCTAGCCAATCTTTCATTTGTGAAATGTAAGCGATGAACTACTTTGAACTGTATAAGGTTGTGTCTAAGGCAGAAGGAAGAAGTGTGCATCTGCTTAATAATATGTCGCCAGATTCTGCAACTGATTTCAACATTTAAATCTTGTTCCCATGCTGATCTGGTTTTATCCCATGAAGGTATATTGATATTCTGTATGATGTTATAGATCACTGAAATCCTACCTTTTACATAGGGATCTATTTCTAAAATACAATCTATTTCACATTCAGATGTCTGAAGGGGGAAAGAAAAATATTTCATGGCAAAGCCAAGGGCCTTTGAAAAAATATCGAAAAAAATGTGTCTTTGGGATATTATGGTTATTTCATAGTGTATCAAATGAAGCAAAAGTACCATCACTAAGCAAATCCCAAATAAAAAATAAGCCGTTGTCCTGCCAAGTTTTGAAAGCTGTGTCTGAGAAGGTGGGAATAGATGGTTATCAATTAGTGAAAGAAAACTATATGCTTGGGTGAAGCCAAAATGTCTATGGTTTCATGTTCTAAACTGAAACCATATTTTAAGGGTTGTTTTCACAACACGGTTTAAATTTTGGAGGTTGAGGTTAATAGGTAGGGGACTGTTAAGAAAAGTTATTGGAGATGTAGAATGATATGACTCTAGTTCCATAGTAACCCAAGCCGGGCCTTCTCTTGACTTATGTGCCAAAATCCAATGGCTTAGTTTAATAAGATTGGCAGACCAGTAGTAATACATAAAATTGGGTAAACCCTGCCCTCCTGCTGATTTAGGTAACTCCAAATAGGCCCTCTTCATACGACAGGAATCACTTGAAGTACATATGAAAAGCGAGGTAATACTATCATTTTAACAATATTAATTCGGCCCGCTAATGAAAGGGGAAGCAATGACCATCTGTTATAATCTGACTTGGTGCGTTCCAATAATACCTTGAAGTTATAGTCATACAGATCTTTATATGTTTGTGTGAAATTGATACCCAAGTAAGAAAATGACCGGCACTCTAACTTAAATGGAAAAATGCTATAATCTATGTTAATCGCTAGACTATTTATAGGAAAACCAGACTTTTAGAAAAATTTTATTTATACCCTGAAAAATTCCCAAATAGCTGCAGAATTCTAAGTCAGCTAAGTACGTCGTCAGCATATAATGATATTTTATGCATCTTAAGATTCCTAGTAATTTCTGTAATCTTTGATGATTGCCTTATTGCTATGGCTACAGGTTCAATGACTAAATTAAACAAAAAATGGGACAGACAGCAGCCTTGTCTTGTGCCTCTATGTAACAAAAAGTATTCTGAGTAATTGAAGTTTGTACGAACCAAGGCTTTTGGAGAAGAATACAGAATCTTAACCCATGTAATAAAAGATGGTCCTAAGCCAAATTTTTCCAAAGTTGTAAACAGATAGTTCCACTCCACCCTGTCAAAGGCCTTTTCGGCATCAAGAGATAGTATAACTTCAGGATCAAGGGTGGAACGAGCAGAATACAAGATATTAAGGAGCCTCTGCAAATTATAAAATGACTGCCTGCCCGGTATAAAGCCCGTCTAATCAGGGTTGATTATTTGGGGTATTACCTTTTCAAGACGTTGGGACAAGATTTTAGTGAGAATTTTGTAGTCATAACATAAGAACATAAGAACTATACAAACGAGAGGAGGCCATTCAGCCCATCGAGCTCGCTTGCGGAGAACTTAACTAATAGCTCAGAGTTGTTAAAATCTTATCTAGCTCTGATTTAAAGGAACCCAATGATTCAGCTTGCTTAAGTGCTTCCTTAAATCCAGTTTGAAATGTTCTCCCGCTAATTTCCACCTATGGCCACGAGTTCTTGTATTTGAACTAATGCTGAAGTAACTAT